GTATGACTTGTATCGCCCACAACTCACTTGCATTCTACTCGTGCATATAACATCTACGCATAAAACCTAGGCTCTGATACCACTATTGGGGAACGTAGTAATTTCAAAAAAATTCCTACGCACACGCAAGATCATGGTGATGCATAGCAACGAGAAGGGAGAGTGTTGTCCATGTACCCTCGTAGACCGTAAGCGGAAGCGTTATGACAACGCGGTTGATGAAGTCGTACGTCTTCACGATCCGAACGATCCAACCAACGAACGTACAGCACCTCCAAGTTCAGCACACGTTCAGCTCGATGACGATCCCCGGACTCCGATCCAGCAGGGTGTCGGGGATGAGTTCCGTCAGCACGACGGCATGGTGACGATGATGATGTTCTACCAATGCAGGGCTTCGCCTAAGCACCGCAACGATATGACCGAGGTGGAATATGGTGGAGGGGGGCACCGGACACGGCTAAGGAACGATCACGATGATCAACTTGTGTCTAGAGGTGTCCCCCTGCCCTCGTATATAAAGGAGGGAGGGGGAGGTGCGGCAGGCCCCTTAGGGGTGCGCCTAGAGGAGTCCTACTCCCACCGGGAGTAGGACTCCCCCCTCTTGCCTTGGTGGAGAAGGAAAGGGGGCAGGGGAAAGAGGAAAGGGGGGCGCCCCCCCCCTTCCTTGTCCTATTCAGACTAGGGGGGAAGGGGCGCGCGGCCTGCCCTGGCCGGCCCTCCTCTTCTCCCTCATGGCCCATGTAGGCCCATTAACCCCCGGGGGGGTTCCGGTAACCCCTCGGTACTCCGGTAAAATCCTGATTTCACCCGGAACGTTTCTGATATCCAAATATAGGCTTCCAATATATCAATCTTTATGTCTCGACCATTTCAAGACTCCTCGTCATGTCCGTAATCACATCCGGGACTCCGAAAAACCTTCGGTACATCAAAACTTATAAACTCATAATAAAACTGTCATCGTAACGTTAAGCATGCGGACCCTACGGGTTCGAGAACTATGTAGACATGACCTAGAACTGTTTCCGGTCAATAACCAATAGCGGAACCTGGATGCTCATATTGGCTCCTACATATTCTACGAAGATCTTTATCGGTCAAACCGCATAACAACATACGTTGTTCCCTTTGTCATTGGTATGTTACTTGCCCGAGATTCGATCATCGGAATCCAATACCTAGTTCAATCTCGTTACCGGCAAGTCTCTTTACTCATTACGTAATGCATCATTCCGTAACTAACTCATTAGCTACATTGCTTGCAAGGCTTATAGTGATGTGCATTACCGAGAGGGCCCAGAGATACCTCTCCGACAATCGGAGTGACAAATCCTAATCTCGAAATACGCCAACTCAACATGTACCTTCAGAGACACCTGTAGAGCTCCTTTATAATCACCCAGTTATGTTATGACGTTTGGTAGCACACAAAGTTTTCTTCCGGTAAAGGGGAGTTGCATAATCTCATAGTTGTAGGAACTTTGTATAAGTCATGAAGGAACCAATAGCAACATACTAAACGATCAAGTGCTAGGCTAACAGAATGGGTCAAGTCAATCACATCATTCTCCTAATGATGTGATCCCATTAATCAAATGACAACACATGTCTATGGTTAGGAAACATAACCATCATTGATTAATGAGCTAGTCAAGTAGAGGCATACTAGTGACATTAAGTTTGTATATGTATTCACACATGTATTATGTTTCCGGTTAATACAATTCTAGCATGAATAATAAACATTTATCATGATATGAGGAAATAAATAATAACTTTATTATTGCCTCTACGGCATATTTCCTTCACCAACCCCGTGGGACCCACCCATCAGTGACCGCGCGCCCGGTCCCACTTCTGCTGACTAGTTAGGTCCCTGGCAGAGAAACAACTATATATTTTTGCTCGAGACTCCAAATGAGGTGATTCCAAAGCCCATTTCTTCGTATCGTCGAGCCCGTTCTGTTGGCTATGCTTTCACCATGTGTTAACATTCTGAAAATGACCATTTTTCCCTTGCATGTAAACTGCTCGCTCCGGGAGATAACTGTTTCTGGCAAATCTTTCCGCGGCTTCACCGCACTTCTTCCCAGTGCCTTCTTCATCCCTAGGCAAGCCACAATACCCACTTGCATGATAGCCATGCAGTAGCCATGGTTTTTAACCTGAATATTTAATAAATGTTTGTCTGCTTAAAACTTGGTTATCGTTGTTCTGGTAATGCTTAGAGTTTCATGTTCACTCTCTTGCTATGTTGTTCTGCACCTGGTTATCTTGTACTAGTTGCTAGTATTCCTTTCATATGCTTATGCTTGCTAGTAGTACATATTTATGTCAGTGATGGTCTTCGGTGCATGACTGTCGTCTATTCCGAGTGCCATTGTTATGCATGTTCCATTGCATCCAGTTGGTTAAATGCTTGCATGGCAGCATTGTTGATATGTTCTTGCATGATATTTATTATTGATGCCAGTGGTAATGCTATGTTTCTGAGTAGTGTATACTTGTGATGTTCATGCTAGTCAGTATGCCATGCTCAGTCGGATATATGATTTATTGTTGTTGATATGTTAAGAAGTGATGTTGTTCAACCATGCTTATGTTGATGTCATGCTCATGTATTGTAGTTGCATCATGTTATTTTCATATGACTCAGGTTATTGCATTCAAGTTTAACCGGACTTAATTGAACTTGAACAACTGTTGGCTAAGTCATGGTGCCACCAAATCAAGCTGACCAGTGCAGCCACACTTGCCTTATGGGGGGTCCTAACTGGGTTTATTGTCATGCCTCTCGCAGGTGCCTCCAACGAGGGAAGGTTATGCGCGGGTGCTACCTTGGCCGGGTAGGACGGCATAAGCCTTGTGTGCCCATAGTTGTTATAGCCGGCTTGTCCCTGTTTGGGACCGTTTATTGTTTTGCCACAACGGTGGCCGTTGGTGCCTTTGGTAGGCACGGGGCCACCCATGACTTAGCCCAAAGGGGGGTTGGTCACAGTGGCCGGAGAGTGTCATGGCAGTAGATCGGTTTTGTCGGAATGTCATTTATCCACCAGAATGGGAGCGCGAGGGCCATGGGTTCGAGCCGTGGTGTGGGTACAGTGTGCTAACCTCTGCAGAGTGTGTGTTAAAACCTATCGATAGCCGCGCCCACGGATATGGGCCCAGTTTGTAGTTGGTCACACTATGGGTCAACAGTAATAATAATGATGTGCTTAATAACAACCCCGGTTCGATGATGAAAGGAGTTGGTTGATATTTATGTGACCGTGAGAGGGTCACCGTGGTATCGAGGATACCGAGTTGTTGAATACTTGTGATGTTGTGCGAGAATCATGGGTAAAGATCAAGCTCCTTGTGGTCATGACTGATTACTACGGTATTGTTTATACCAAGCTTGATTTGATCCTAAGATGATCGTGTGATGTCCAACGTTGGTAAGTGATGCAGGTGCTGTTTACGAGGTAACCCCTAGCACAGTAAGTTGGTGCATGATAGTGTCATCATGTTGCATGTTAGTATCATCATGCTTAGATGTTCATGACATGCTCATATTGTCCTAGCGGAATCATGTAGTTCATGCCATGTTATGCTGATGATATCATGTTAATCCTTGTTAACCTGTAATTGCCATGCTGTTGTTTGCCTTGAATGCTTCTGGTTATTCTGAGCTTGCAAGTACATTCAATGTACTAACCTGGCGTGTCATGCCAGTTTGCAGGTCATGCCGGATTTGATTGCTTGTTTGTCGTGGATGCCTGGTTTGCGAGCTAGGATAAGTGTTCCAGCCAGAGTCCCTGCGGAGTGGAGTTCACCGCCGTCATCGCTATTCCGCTACTAGTAGTTATTCCGCTGCTTCGTGTTGTTCTACTACTTGCATAGAGCAACCGTGGCAGGCGTAGTGTTGCCTTGCCGATGTAATTCCTTGTTATATCGGAATCCCGTTGTACCCAATATAGATTGTAATAAAGAGCTGATTTGTTCTATGCTAAGCAGTGCCATATTCCAGAAGACTTCTCCTCGATCTCTGGGCTGGAATATGGGGCGTTCCGGTTTCTCTGAGCCGGGCTGCCACAGATCACTTCACCATCACCATCACCACGTTGTCGTGCTGACGGAACTCATCTACTACCTCGATGTCTTGCTGGATCAAGAAGGCGAGGGACGTCACCGAGCTGAACGTGTGTAGAAGGCGGAGGTGTCGTGCGTTCAGTACTTGATCGGTTGAAGCGCGAAGAAGTTTGACTACATCAACCGCGTTGTGAAACGCTTCTACTTATGGTCTACGAGGGTACGTAGACACAATCTCCCCCTAGTTGCTATGCATCTCCATGGATAGATCATTGCGTGTGCGTAGAATTTTTTTTGTTTTCCATGCAACGATTCCCAACATTACTACCAAGTTCAGAATCTGCACCACATGCAGTGCAAACTGGTCCATAACTAAATGTTGGATCCGATCTGTAGGAGATGTGAGGACTATGAACCCTTACTGACAACTCTATACCTTAATTGAGGAAAGGAGCAGAATGTAGTACTAATTACTAAACAACCTAGTACTTCAGAGTGATAAAAAGAGTGGTGTATGCGGCTGGCACTAAACAAGATCTAATAGCATAAAAATGCAGAACAAACTAAGGTACACGTGAGGCTGCAAACTTCGGTCCACAATGGATGTCTTTAGTATTATCGAGATTTTGTGCAATGTTGGTATACCAATACCCTAAAAGTAATATGTCGACATGAATAACTTGCATGCACAACACAACAAACCTCTACAAGAGCAATACCGATTTTCTCAGCTCTTCGTGGGGTTGATAATCTTACTGCAAAAGTAACTACAACTAGCCATGTGGACTTACAAGACATCATTCACATGTGTTGAATTTCATATATGAATCAATGGAAATAAATATGTGGCACATAATATAGGGTAGCAATAAGATCCGAGATAGTCTTTAGTTGAAGTAGCAATAAATGTGTAGTGTTCTAAAATTTCATTGAGTACTTGTACTAAGTCTATGGAACGCCATTGGTGCTCCGTCAACTGGCATTGGTTGTGGAATGTACTTAACCCCCGCATCCGGATTAAGCAACTCCCATCTAAAACAAGATATATATAAGGAGACAATTAATGACATTGAGCATGAAAATCCAACTGCAGTACACAAATATGAAGGTGATGCGGTCCTTGTTGTTCTAATGGCATTGCTAGTACTGTCTATGATATGAAATATGGAATAGGTACGAAGTAATATACTCACTCGTAACCAAGTGAAAGATGATGCAACATGATGGTGATCTGTAGCCTGGCAAGCATGTTGCCCGCACATGTCCTGTTGCCAGCTCCAAACAGTTGATTTGTTCCTGCCATTGGTGGTTCCTGCTCTCAACCAGACGTTTCATAGTGTTAGTAGTATTCTAGTAGTTTGTTGTTAGTTTTCCCCCACATCGATCGACTTACATTCCATCTATCTGGGTTGAAGATCAGTGGATCCTGATAGTATTTCGCATCGATATGCATTGCGCGGAGCCACACCACAACTTGCCACCCTTGTGGGATTGTATATCCTCCATACTCGACGTCTCTATAAGCCACACGATGGACCATAGGAGCAATATTGGCCAGTCTAATTGCCTCTTCAACTACCTTCACTCAACCATCACACAAGGAAAAAACTAATTAAACTAAATGTTTTCCTTTGGGGTCCATGTTATGACACACTTGCATTTCGTAAAATCCATTTTAATTATTCATTAACTCATAGCTTGGGACCATTTCTCTCAAATTAATTCTACTTAGAATATCATATCTACCATGTTCTAACAAACAGAAAAAAGAATCATATACATAAGTAACAAAAATAGTATATGCATGCAAATTTCGGTCATGGAATATGAAATTTTACTATTTTTCATGATGGCTGGGAAACAGGAATTTGCTAAGGAGGGTATTTTTTTTACCCACAAGCTACAACCGTGATTTGTTCACTTGTGAGATGATGAAACCCCACACTATCTTTTTTTGAGTTGCCGCCTTTTTTTAGTCCAATCATGGGACTCTCTTTGCCCTAACAGAATTAGCTTTAAATTTTTGGGACTTCCTCAAAATTGTTTAAATTGTTGGTATGTTTCTGATCACGAGGCGTTTCAAGATATGAAGGATAAACTACAGGACCCTTTCCTTATGGACATTACGAACTTAGAATCTAGGAGCATATGGGTGGTTTCTAACCTTTAAAGATGATATGATCAAAGTAAAAACTTTCCATGCAAGTCAAGAATTGTCATATAATTTTTTAATATTCACATCAATATACTTCATACGCAAAAAAACTACATAAATGATTTGTTTCATCCTTCTCAAAATATTCGCTGGTGGTTTCCTCATTACAGAATTGGTCAGGTGGTAAAGTAGTTTAGGGGGTTGACTCGTTCATGAAAGGTTTATAGGAAATATTGAGCCAACTAACAATATCCGTAGTAAGAGTATTTTCTTCTTCTTCTTAGATTTATAGGTGATAAAGTGGGTGGGTACATACCTTGGCCGTGTATTTCATCTTTGGAATGTCATCAAGAGTAAGAAAGTTTGAACTTTTACCCTCGCTCACTGCGGCATTCTCATTCTGAAAATTAAAAACAATATTTAACAAACTTAATTTACTTGATTACGTTCGCCCAAAGTGCCACACAATTATTTACCCGCAACTTGGCAAGGATAACCGGCGATTTGGCCAAATGGTAGGCAGCCCACAACACAGCACTGGAAATGGACTCGTAACCGCCAAAGACCAGCGAGACAATGTTATCCAGCACCTCCTCGTCGCTCAGCTTTTCCCCTTGTTCATCTTCCATTTCCATCAGCCCGCTCATCAAATCATCATCATAGTCTTCCTCCGCGGCAAGCCCCCATTTCACGTTATTTTTCCTCTTCTGAAGCTCCTTTTCAAACACTGCATGTAACCTCCTTCGACACTGCATATATGATATACCCACAATTAATTCATCTATTTTTTCATCCGCAATTGCACGTTGATTTTATATGTATCATCTTCAGGAAACTTAACATGAATAGCACGTTATATTATTTCATTGTGTAATTTAGATAAATGTGCACTGTAAACTGAGGCTGATATTTTTTGCACGAAAATGATCCGGATCTTTTAAAAAAGTTCATTAGAAATACATAGCATTCCCAACATAATAAAAATTACACCAAGAAGATCTCTGGACCACCGAACGACCACTACCTAGGATGATATATTTAAAAGTATGGAACACTAAATACTTTGTACGTGAGAATACATATATTAAATATATATTCGATTAGTAGGCATAATTACAGCTCACATCACGAGCCTATTGGCCAATTGTTTGCTCACTAGGTCACCATTTTCTTCAAAAGAAGGGCATAACCTCTGGGCAGGGCCATGTATAATAAAACAGGATGTATCGGGTTTTTTTCTTTTTGGAAAACTTATACTCCCTCTGTTCCTAAATATAACTTTTTCTAGAGATTCCATTATGGACTACATACGAAGCAAAATGAGTGAATCTACACTCTAAAATATGTCTACATACATCTGTATGTAGTTTGTAGTAGAATCTCTAAAAAGACTTTTATTTAGGAATGGAGGAAGTAGCACATAAAAAGCAACCGAAACCTATTTATGAAAAAAAAACATAGCACATAAAATAGTCTGCGGTGTAATATACCTTCCGACCATGATTCAGCGCTGTTCCCGGTAAGTCCAGTGGCAGTGCCGTGAGCCCGCCAAGTACGCCTACAAACCATTTATCCATCTTTTCTGTGAGAGGAGACGCCTTCATGCTTATAAATATCTCGAGAGTGCTCTCGAACATCACCTGAAATTCACGGTATAGTCAGATTTATTTTTCATGCATTCATCAAAACTCTAAAATAACTGCTCGACATGAGGGGTTCGCTATATAAAACAAAACCTCTAAACTAAACTGATGTTTTTTCATGAAATGCTAAAAATCTGACGTCGTATTTTTAAGGCTGACAAAACAAACGTTTTCTGGATAATTTATTTATGTTGTCGTAAGGATGGCAATTATTTTTAATAAGCATGATAATTCTTGACAAAACACCGAATGTGGCAAGGATTTGTCATGCTCGCTAAAAACATTATCGTCCTTACGACAATATAATTTGCCATCTCAGGCATTCGATTTGTCGTGCTCAAATATCTGACGCCAGATGTATACAATTGTTCCTTTTGCAAAAAATAGGTGTATATGATTGTTTTTGTTTTTCTTTTCTTGCAAAAGCAACGAGCTCATTCCCGGAAAAAAATTTGGAAAAATTAACGCTCACACGTGTGGGCGTTTGCAGATCGCCCACAAGCCTCCATCACCACTCATTTTGTCACGTATGAATAGATGACATCAGCAGAAATCTTTTTGGTTTTCGGCTTAAAAATATTTTATCTCCTAAATAAAAAAGCAAACTAAAAATACGTTTTCACCATTAAATCCGTCTCGACGAGATCTTCAAAACTAGACCCCATGTTGATATGTTTTGACGATTTTTTTTTTGCCGAGAAGTTGTCATGATGTTTACACTATAGTTGTCATAGTGCTTAAACTAAAGTTGCCATGTGGCAATTTTAGTTTGTAGATCATGGCAATTTTAGTTTTTTGATGATGACAATTCCAGTACTTTGACCATGAAAATATTTTTTTATTGAACCATGGCAATTTTAAGTGCATGTATCATGGCAATTTTAGTTAATGTTGCATGGCAAGTCTAGTTTCTTATTTCTTCATTTTATAATATGTTTTACTTTTAAATGTAAAATAAAATAGTTGAAACATATCATGGCAACTTCAGATAAATATCATGGCAATTCATGTGCAATAGACATGTCAACTTTTAACAAAAAAATCGCCGAAATATATCGATATGAGATCTAGTTTTGAAGATCTCGTCGCGAGGGATTTAATGGTAAAAACAGATCTTCAATCGAATTTTTCATTTAAGAAATAAAATATTTTAAAAACTGAAAATCCAAAAAGATTCTCGCATGCATACATGCAATGACGTGGCAATTTATTTGCATTAGAAACGTGTGGTGCGTCTTTTTTCCTGCCACAAGTGTGGCAGTTATCGATGTCAAAAAAATAAAAGCAATGACCTGAAAATAACATGACAACTCACGGTAACTGACGTACTACCTTCCTGATCTCCTTGGCGGCGATGATGGTTCCCTTGTCCGCCCACGACCGTAGCGCCTCCACGACACAGGGCTGAGCCATACGGGCGATGTTCCTCCGGGACCTCGGCTTGCTGAACGTGGCGACGACGTAGCCCCTGATTCTCCTGTGCATGCTCCCCTCGACGTTGAACATGGACGACAGGCCGAGGAGGTCCCTCGCTGGCCACCGGAGCCAGAAGTTGTCGTGGGACTGCAGGACGAACTTGTTGGCCGCCGGGTCACAGACGATGATGGTCGGCCTGCCGAAGAGGTGGGACCTGTACATGCCCACCCCTTCGCCGTACCTCTTCTTCCTGGCCTCGATGAAGCCGTCCGGCCGGCGCGCCACCTTGAAGTACCAGGACAACGCGGCGGTCTCGCCAAAGAAGGGGATGCCCATGTGGCCTGGTGGGAGCCGAACGTGGCGACCACGACGCCACCGCCGCTGCCGCAGCGCGAAGGCGGCGCAGTACCAGGCGTCGTTGCAGCGCCAGACAGCGAGAGCGGCCAACGGGACGGCGCCGAGCAGGAGGCCAAGCCACCATGCCAAGTCGCCCACTTGCATTTCTTCGTCGTTGATTGATAGATCGTTTGGTTGTGAGCGGCTGAAGGCTGGTTGCTTAATTTGCCATGTGTATATAGTTACCAATAGATTCGCAGGTTTAGATTCCTCCAGTGGGTAGAACCGCATGCAAACAAAGCAAAGAAAACAAATTCATGCTTATACGTTTGCAAGCTGAGCAGGAGGCAAGCAGTGGAATACGCCAAGATCCAAATGCATTAACTGTATTTTATGAGAAAGCGATTTTGTCAGGGCGTGGTCAATTATTGTTGCATCACCATATATATATTGAAGTGGGGAAGTGGCCAGGCAGCCCTGAATGATGCACGTTCGTCTTCGTCGCCGATGCGCGGGTAGGGGGTGTTGGAAATATGACCAATTTTCCGAATGATTTTATTAACAGAAATACTAGATAAAGCATGACTAAAATAGCAAAAATAAAATTAGTCATGCAATCTAACAGAGAGAAGGTAAAAAGCATCTGCATATATGAATTATACTCAAACATATCTAGGGTAAACACTAGAACAAGGAACTGTGGCACGAGCTCTAACAGAAAGAACAAGAACACGTACGGGACAGCAGCAGCAACAGGAGTACTGGACTTGGGTTCGTCATCCTCGCCAGCTATATCGCCGAGGAGGTTGTCGACGTCAGGGAAGAAGTCGTCGTTGGGGAAGTGGTCATCGGTGTCCATGATGAACCGGTCAGTAATCGCGCAGAACGCTCCCCAAAAACCTTATCACTCTTCTCACGTACAGGACTCAAAGATGTGCGGTTTCGGAGGCCTACTGTCCCGACCCGCGGTGCACGTCGCAAACCGGGATGGGGAAGAACGTAGCAGCAGCGCAGTGCTCAGGAACCGGTGGCGAGAGGAAGAAGTAGTTCTTGTGCGTCTCTCTGAGAGAACCGGTGGCTGCACCGTTCGCATTCGAACTCCACTATCGCAAAAATCTTTTCAGCTTCCGTGTGACCTTTCGTATACCCATAGTGCATGGCAAAAATTTAGACATCGGCTTGGCTCATTCCCGCCACCCACGGCGTGGCATGGCGCGGCGCGGCGCGGCGAGGCGTGGCGAGGCGGGCGACGGAGGAGGAGCGCGCGTGGATGTCCCTCTTGTTCTCATCCTCATACATGTGGGGAAAGAACCTCCCTTATAAAGAGGTCCAACTCCCTCTAAACTAGTAATGTGGGACTAAACTTTAGTTCCACCTCTTGCCTTGCATGAATGGGCTGCGTGGGCCTCTAGGATTTATTAGGAATTTCTAAAACAGCTATTGGGTAGGCCCAAAATAGACAAAATTCCAGCAATCCCCAACCAGATCCCAGAGGCACACAAAATTTGCCTTTGGTTCCAAAACACTGTTTTATATACCGGTACTGCAGTGGAGACTGTTAAGTTGAACTTCCGCCTAGAACTCTATGCTACACTAGTGAGCAACTTTAACAGTGGACTAGGCCTTGAACTGCAAGTTTTCTGTGAATTTAGCTTCACATAAAGCCTTGACCGATACGTGTCTACCGTGGGTCTTCCCCGCGGGTGGAGCTTATGCATCATACTCCGAGACCTTTCATGAGTTTACCAGAAAGAACCCTACTCTCATAGATTGCGACGTTTAACAATCAGACTCGTATAGGTGCGTTCTTCAAAAGATGTTCTGCAGGACAATATCTCTGCTTCAATGAGCCACTTAGAACACATTAAGATATACATCAACCTGCCATGCAGATTTAGAAGAGTATTGCATCTTCATGGAGTGGTATTGTTAACACTAAGGATACTCTCCTCTCCGTTGACCAACAGCTTGTCTTCCACATCTAATTCACGGGATCTTCGATCACATAGACTAGGTTACCACTGTAAACAACTCATATTGTGGGTCTCATACCCATCTCCCTCGATGCATTATCTATCACATTACATGATAGACCCTTAGTAAAAGGATCTGCCGGATTTTAGACGTTTGGATATAATCCAATGCAATAACTCCGGAGTTTCTCATTTTTCTGACAGATTTTAACCTTCTCTGAACGTGTCTTGATGAATTCATGTTATCATTTGAGCTGCTCACTTTCGTGATCACAGTTTGATTGTCGCGGTTCATAAGGATACCCGGTACAGGTTTCTCAACAACCGGCAAGTCATTCAAGAGATGGCGAAGCCAATCTGCTTCGACCGTGGTTGTATATAGTGCTGCAAGTTCTGCTTCCATTATTGACCTCATTAAGATGGTCTGCTTGCAAGACTTCCAAGAAACAGCGCCACCTCCATGAGTGAATACATATCCGCTCATGGCCTTTAACTCATCAGCATCTGAGATCCAGTTTGAGTCGCTATACCCTTCAAGAACCTTTGGGTGCCCAGTGTAGTGAATTCCATAATTCACAGTGCCTTTCAAATAACGCAAAACTCTCTCTAGAGCTTTCCAATGCACATCTCCTGGTTTTGAGACAAACCGGCTCAGTTTGCTAACAGCAAAAGAGATGCCAGGTCTTGTAGCACTGATTAAATACATAAGTAAGCCAATAATCTGAGAATATTTCAATGGTCTGTAGCAATTCTTCGATTCTTTGAAAGTAACACACTAGCATCATATGGTGTTGGAGAGGGCTTGCAGTAATTGTAGCCAAAGTGACTCAAGATCTTTTCCACATAGTGAGATTGAAGCAATGTAATCCCACCATCATCGTCTTTCAACAACTTGATGTTCAGAATGACATCACCCACTCCTAAATCCTTCATCTCAAAGCAACGAGATAGGAAATCCTTGACCTCCTTAATACCCTTCAGATTTTTTTCTGAAAATCAGTATGTCATCAACATACAAGCAGAGGATAACTCCCTCGCCCCCACCATGGCAATAGTACACACATTTATCAGCTTTGTTTATTACAAAGCTTGCGGTTGTTAAAGTTATTTCAAACTTCTCATGCCACTGCTTGGGTGCTTGCTTAAGTCCATACAAAGACTTCAACAACTTGCACACTTTTCCTTCTTGACCATCTACTACAAACCCATCTGGTTGTTCCATATAAATTTCCTTTCCCAACTCTCCATTTAGGAAAGCAGTCTTAACATCCATTTGATGAACGAGAAGACCATGTGAAGTAGCTAGTGAAAGTAGAACTCAAACAGTGATCAGTCGAGCCACACGTGGGTAAGTATCAAAGAAGTCTTCACCTTCCTTTTGGGTATAACCCTTAGCCACGAGTTGTGCCTTGTACTTCTCAATAGTACCATCCAGCCTAAGTTTCTTTTTGAATACCCATTTGCATCCTATAGGTTTGCACCCATAAGGACGATCGGTTATCTCCCAAGTTTCATTTGCCATGATGGAATCCATCTCACTACAGACCGCTTCCTTCCAGTAGTCAGCATCTTCAGATGCATAGGCCTCTGAAATAGAACTTGGAGTGTCATCTATTAGATAGACAAGAAAATCATCACCGAAGGACTTTGCAGTCCTCTATCTCTTGCTCCTAGTAGGAACTTCATTATTCTCCTCCACAGGATTTTCAAAGTATTCCATCGAAATGGCAGGTTCTGTAATTGTAACTGGTTCCTGATCCGATGAACTAGGCATCTCCTGATTAGATGAGGTAGCCATATCCTTCATGGGAAAGATATCTTCAAAGAAATTCACATCATTCGACTCCATGATCGTATTGACATGCATGTCAGGTACCTTAGATTTTACAACCAAGAATCTATAACCAATGCTATAAAAAGCATATCCTAGGAAAACACAATCCACAGTTTTTGGTCCCAGCTTCCGCTTCTTTGGAATTGGCACATTGACTTTCACCAAACAACCCTAGGTTTGTAAATAAGAGAGCTTTAACCTTTTCTTCTCCCATTCCTCGAATGGTGTTATCTCTTTGTTCTTCGTGGGAACTCGGTTTAGGACATGACATGCAGTCCATATCGCCTCCCCCACCATGCCTTGGAGAGACCCGATGTGTCTAACATGGCGTTAACCAAATTAGTTAGAGTATGGTTCTTTCTTTCAGCCACCCCATTTGACTGAGGTGAATAGTGATGCGTTCTCTCATGTATTATACCATGTTCCACACAAAAGGAATCAAATTCATTTGAGAAATACTCTCCACCACGATCGGACCTAAGCCCCTTGATCTTTCGATCAAGTTGGTTTTCCGCTTCAGCTTTATAGATCTTAAAATAGTTCAAAGCCTCATCCTTAGATTTCAGAAGATACACATGACATTATCTAGTGGAGTCATCAATTAACGTCACAAAATACTTCTTTTCACCTTTTGTCAAAACACCATTCATTTCACATAGATCTGAATGTATGAGCTCTAGTGGTGCAAGATTTTTCGTTTCCGCAGTCACATGAGACTTACGAGGTTGCTTAGCTTGCACACCCACTTGACACTTAGATCCCTTGACAGTGGTGAAACTAGGGATTAATTTTAACTTCGCTGGTCGTGACATGCATGCAACCAAAGTTAACATGACAGAGACGTGAATGCCACACATTTGATTCACTATTGTTGCAAACATGATTAACAACTTTATTGCAAACGTCTGATAAGGATAAACGAAACAGGCCTCCTGACTCATAGACTTTACCAACAAAGGTTCCATATTTGGATATTACAAATTTATTGCACTCACAGACAAGTTTGTAGCCATCTCTACACAGAAGAGATCCGCTAACAAGATTTTTATTGACGGAGGGGACATAATGCACGTTCTTCAGCCACACGATCTTCCCCGAAGTAAAATTCAAATCGACCGTGCCAACACCACGAACAAAAGCACTTGAACCGCTGCCCATCAGCACGGTGGAAGTCCCTGCGGTCTGATAAGATGAAAATATGGAAATATCACCGCATACATGCACATTAGCACCTATGTCAATTAACCAATCAAGAGAATGACATATTGAAAGAATAGTGGGAAATATACCATACCCAACATCCTTCATGTCAATGTCTCCAATGATAACATTAGCGGTCTTGCCGCCTTTCCAAAGAT